CCCTTTCATTGGTGCCGTGACTTCGGATGAGGCTCTCCCATTGACTTTGCCTCCGGGAACCTGAATTGCTTTGGGAACCCTCACTGCCCGATCCTCCTCCACAGGCTCACCATCCATTTCTCCGGTCGCTCATCTCACCCAACATCGGCCTTCGATTTGGTGAGTCTCCCCTTCATGGTCGACTTAAATGTCCCTTTGGAACCTGGGAAGTGACCGTTGAGTGTCCAGCACCCCCAAGGTCTCCTCTGGGACAGGGGCACCCCCAACCATGACTTTCAGAGTCACGGTTGATCCCCGTAGTCGACCCTTCTCTGCCTCCCCATGGTGAGAATCCTCATCCACTGAGGCCCAGTCTCCCTTTATCTACGTATCTACTCGACTCGAAAACTCCTGGTACCAGGTACCGAGCCTCCCCAGCGTTTTTGCCTCGACCCCACAGTTAGAGGTGGTGACGACCCCCTAACTGTGCCTGGTCTTCTCCGCGACCTTCTCAATCGCTCAGGGACGCCTCAGCGACTTCTGAACGGTCTCGTTCTCACCATGGGATCTGGCCCCTCCGTTGCCACAGATTCACCGCTAGGGTGCTTACTCGATAATCTAAAGCCCCTCCACCTCACTCCAGACCTCAAACCTATTCTGCTTGTTCGCTACTGTAATGAGATCTGGCCACAATATCCCTTGGGCAATCAGTCTAAATGGCCCCCAAATGGCTCTTTAGATCCTAAAATTCTCTGCGACTTATACAACTTCTGTGAGCGTACGAGCAAATGGAAAGAGATCCCATATATCCAGGCTTTGTCCTACCTCCGAACCAAGCTCTCTGTCTCCCCTGCAATCTTAAACACCTACTACTTGCCTTAAAGTCCACACCCCTAAGCTTTTTTCACATTCCCAAATATCCTCAACTGCCTATAAAACTCTTAGACAATGCACCACCACGGGCTCTCTTGTCCCCTCCTGGCTCATGCCAGGAGCTCTGTCTGTCCTCTCACTGTATCATTACGTCTCAATCTGTATGTTTGTGTCTAAGTGTGTAAATGAAAAACATTTTTCTACCTCCGGATGGTATTAATAAAAATTGATTTAAAGACAAGCGCTTGTAAAAATTGGGCATTCTGAAACTTCCAGAAAAATTCTAATAGAAGATATTAAGCATTAATGCTAATTTAAGTTGAACTGAAATAGACATGTCCTTATGGTTATCAGCTGCCTAAGTTTACCTAAAGTCATTTAAGTTGATGGCTATCTGTCAAATCTTTCAAAGAAAAATGCTTAAAGTGAAGTGTTAGCTTTGTCTAATGTGAGTATTTAAGCAAGTGCCTTAAAACTTTTAACAGCTTCCCAAAATCAAATTCAAAAAGGTGCTTTTTACCTCTAGTTCACTCTGATATTTTCCAGTGGGCCCCTGGAACATGTCAGAGGAATTTTTTCTCATTAGAGAAAATATTTGGCTAATTTGGCTTATTTAACTGCTTAATTACCTGGAAAGCATTATCACAGAGAATGATGCTAAACTTTAATGTTTTGTGTTACAAAAATATCCAAATTTCCCTATGACAACTGTCTTACAGTAAGCTCTCGTCAGATCTTTAACCATTGTCATTTGTAAGTCTTTTGTCATCTATAGTCACTGTTTTATTACTCCTAAACTAGTAAAAAACTAAATTTCAGCAGAACAGGTATTAGTTACATAGGATTAAGTAAACTAAGGAAGATGATTTTGTGGCTTTTTGTTTCAAATGTTGTTGATAAAGTGTTTTAAGCTTTTTCTCTTAAGCTGACAACAGTTTAGTAAATGACTGTCTTTATAAGCAGAATTGAAACTTTATCTTTCTACCTGATCCCTCCAGAATTTAAAAACTCAGTGACTATTTTTATATTTCATAGCAGTATGTTTATTTGCATAAGTTCAATAAGAATCTTCTTTCCTTGTAAGAGGACCAATTAAAAACACTGGTTTTATTACCAAGGCTTTGACTGGAACGTCATACCTGAGAGATACGTGTGTAAACTCAGATATGAACCGACACCTTTAAGGAACTAAGATTAACTTTATAAAGCCAACAAAGCCCCTTAGAAGAACTGGCCTGGTACCTTGCTTACAGAGTTCCCAGCAGCCTTACCAGGTGAGTAAGGAAGGTCACTTCCTGGTAGGTGCAGGAACCTCAGGAAGAGAGGAATTCACCCAAATCTACAGGTACTGCAGGCACAAGCTGGTGGCAAGTCTGGCTTGGCTTTCTGGCCTCAAGTAGCCCTTAAAAGTTCAATCTGAAATTCCTTGCAAAAAGTTCCAGCAAAGCACATTTAAAAGATCCCATGTAATCAATTACTCTTCTTGCTGCACTTATGCAAATAATCAAGCCAACTGTTAATTATTTTCTTAATCTGGATACTTCTAATAAAAATGAGGGTGATTTCAGAGAAAAGTATTGTTTCAATAATGCTGTCTTATCTATACTAAATCCTAATACTAGTCATTGAGATGTAAACTCAATCCAACATTCTAGTTTCCCCATGATACCTGGCTATGATTCTCAATTAGACTTCATATTTCTAGTTCTCATATTCAGCCATGCATTCTTAATCTCGTCAAGTTTGTCCTTCCAGAATGGAAAATCCAACTCCAGATGTTGCTACTTAACCTAATAACAATTTGTTCTATCTTGCCTAAAAGCCACAAAACTGCAAATAGTAATAGAAATGAAACCCGGAATAGAAGTGCCAACCTTCCGAGGCCTTCTCAACTGACCAGTGATGGAGACCTAGCTGCACCCCTTACTGCCTCCCCTCTCAGCATGAAGCAGCCAGAGCGGTCATCGTCCCTTTTCCCTAGCAGCAGCTAGGGTCTCTATCTGAAGAGGGGTGAATGAGACAGGGACCATAGGCTTAGACAAAATAAGGTGAGAGCCTCTGGAGAAAGCAAGGCAGGATATTTGCAGTCAGGGCATTGTAAAACTTCATGCTAGGAATCCCCCCTACTAAAACTATGTTGAACATTAAGCTCTAGAATCATTCTTCAGTGAGATCAGTTAATGTTCCCCAGATAAAGAAGAGTAGCACATGTTTTATTATGTTGATCATTTGTAATGGTGTATAAGATTCACATTAGCATACTAAAAGGCCCAGGCCTATGTGCTGTCTTTCCTCCTTCAGATCTGAGGAGGTAATTTTGCAAACTGAGCAACTAACTTAGCATGCAGACCCAGCTGTAGATGTCATAGTAAAAGGCAGGATTCTTTAGCAAATAGACAATACCTCAACCCACGTTGGGAGCTGAGCAGGCAGCCTTTTGATGTGCTCCCAGACCAAGACGCCGGTATCCCAGAGAAAAATCAAGGCAGGAAATTCCTTATGTTAAGTTAATTTTTAATATTCAGAGACCACTTAACAAGTCCTTCCCCAAGGCTTTAGGGATAGTCCCCACCTTTTTGGACAGGCTCTAACATGACCTCAGATCCCTTACTTTCGAGCTCCACCCATCTTCAATATGTAGATGATCTCCTGTGCAGTCCCTCCCTACAAACGTCTCAACAGGATACTATTCTCCTTTTAAACTTTCTCTCAGAACACAGCTATCGAGTTTCACCCTCCAAAGTTCAGCTGTCTGCCGCTTAGGTCACATACCTGGGAGTTCAGCTCTCCCGCGCTACAAGGCCATTACCATACACAGGAAAGAACTTCTCCAAACCATGCCCATTCCAAACACCAAGCAACACCATCGCTAACTCCCAAATGGCAAACACCATACACAGTAATCCTTTCCATGCCAACTGCAGTTAAACTCCAGTCTTCCCCATTAGATACACAACTCCCACCTTAAGCCATTTGTCACAGTTTATTCCCCTCCCACCAAATCTCCCACAGGTTCCTACTCCACCCTGACGGGACCTCTCTCTCTCCGCATTTCGCGCTGCTCATCTCCACTTCCACTCATCACTGAAGAAGTTTCTGCCAGCACAGAGTCCTAAGACCTCCCTTACAACCGCCATGCATCATGCTTCAGGATTATTAACCCTGGTCTCAACACTTACTCTCTCACCAGACCTATCTTCCCAATGCCAGCCCTTTCTTCTCTTTCAGACTGTCCAAAAAATTGCACCATCAAGGATTCCCTTTGCCCTACAGGTTGCTTTTCTGCCTACACATATGTCCCAAGAAATGATATTAATTCAGCCACCCTATGTAAATACAGCAATCAGCCCAAATACAAAAAATTTCTAACCACACCTTTAACCAGCTTATATTACAGGATTACCAACCCTTCTCCAAAGACGATGATCCTTATTGAACCTGGAAAATGCCATCAGCACTACAGACCAAGGGCTCATCTGAGGACCGCCCCCCATCAATATAAAAATGAACTTCATTGCCCCTTATCAGCAGGAAGCAGTTACTGAAGACTGACCTGCACCCCTTCCCAAATCCTCTACCACTTATAAAACAGAAAAGGGAGGAATGTAAGAATATAGTAATTTATCCTCCATTTGCCCCATGGTCCCAAGCACATAAGCCGGTGAGAATTATGCCTGGGTTTACCCCGCCTTATCTCTAAACATCCCGACCCTCCCCCAAAGCAGCAGGCCCAGCGGATCCACAATAAAAGGCACCACGCTGCTGCCCTCTCTTGTCTCTCTGCATCTCTCACTCGCTGCTCTCTCACTTGCTGCTCTTTCACTCGCTGCTCTGTCTCTTTCACTCGCTGCTCTCGCTGTCTCTCTCGCTGCCCTCTCTCTGTCTGTCTCTCTGCTGCTCTCTCTGTGTCTCTGTGTGTGTGTCTCTCTCTCCCCCCCATCTCTCTGCTCTCTCTGTCCCACTGCTCTCTCCCTCTCCCTCTCCCCACAGCCACTCTCTCCTTCAGATAATAAAATCTCTTGCATGGGCCTGTGTCTCTGAGCCCTCCTGTGTAAGGAGGGTCGCGGCAAGATACCCTTTCAGTGAGATTTATGAAAGATTAAATCTTTATGAAGAAAAGTCAAATTATGGCACGGAGGAAGCAAATACATGTTTGAAAGTTTTATTGATTTTAAATTTAAAATACAGTTTTGAAGCACAAAATTCAGCATGAACCACAAGTGGGAATACAATGTCTTGAAGATATTTCTAAAGCTACTCTACATAATAATGAGACAGAATTAACAGCATAGCATAATGCAAACTTCTCATTCCAGTGGTTTACATATTTTCTTAGGATGAAATGTGATTTTTATTTAACAACATTTAGTAGAACTGTACATAAACAAAGGTATTTTTTATTAAACAACTTGCCAAATTTATCATTATGACTGTTTAAAAAGCAAAAGTTTGTAAATGGGTAAAGAAGCAAGCAGTCCTCACTGAGTTTGCACGGCTTTGCCTTTGTGAGAAGAGTAGACTGGTGGTGGGTTTTGGGGATTTTTCTTTTTGCTGAAAACTCTATTCTTAATCTCACTGGAATGTTGGCAGACAGAGAATCCACACACTACTTTATAAGATCTGGATCAACCTGCTTTCTTTCTGTGTAATGATAGTCCTACAAAGTAAAGAACTCCCTATTGCTCCTAATGCTAGTGGACCAACCCCAACATATTACTCCACTCTTACCCAAGCAAGAATGCCTGGGTGCCCTTCCTCCTTACCTGCTGCCAAAGAAAAAAGGGACTAGAAAGACTGTCTAATCCACTGTTCCCTTGGAGCCAGAGACAGGGCACAGGGAAGAGAGAACTTAGCTATTGACAGATTTAGCACATACCTTAGATGGGTGCCCTAGAACACAACACTACCTCCAAATTCCTCTTACCTTTCAGTCAAGCAACTTCTAACACTGTGAGTAAAATATAAGGTGTTCTCAAGTCTGTATCATCAAACATGAAGCTTCTCATGTTACAGTAATTAATCTCTTCTTTCTTTGGACTAAAGTTTCCCTTAAGGAAAAAACACCACTGTGTACCTAACCTGACTGCTAGATTTATAGCTTATTTGTTTTAAATGTGACTCAAAGAGTCATTTAGAATGTTGTGGCAATTATTGTGAGTTTGATTATTAACAAAAAAGTAAGAAAGATGGCTAATTCTAGAGATAAATGTAAGGATGAATTACTGAAGTTCCAAAATCAAATTCTGATTCTAAACACAGTAACAAAGAAATTTTTCCACTCTGGATTAAGATGTCTTTAAAAGTTGAAGCGATTTTGGAGGTCATCCAGCCCAACTTCCATCCAGATATCACGCCTCTCACATTTAGTAGTCTTCTGAATTATAAAAATTATTATAAAGTTATTTCAAAAAAAAGCTACATAAATAAAAATTATCTATATATAGAAATATCTATTCAGCAATTCCATAATTTAAATATTCAAATCAAACTGGGTAGAACTGGTTCTCTCACCCCCCAGACTGTATTTACATACAAACACATCCAGTTATATTTAAACAGTGAATAATAGTACCACCTGACTGAAATGGAGAGAAATAGTGCTGTAACACAGTCCCTAATTTTTTTCATGAACATAAAATTGCAGGTCACTTAGATGAATTATCTCAATGAAACTACTTAAAAAAAAAAAACTACAAGTAACTTACTAACCTGGACTTTGGTCTCTAATTTAAGGTTTGGTTCTGGAATGCAAATATGCTTTTTGAAAGCCCAATAAAATCAATCTCTCAGATAGTCTGTATATATTAATTGTTTACAAGGACCCTGAATCTATTACATCAAAAATGGGAAGCTTTAGTGAATAACCAATGTGTCCAACATAGAAAATAACTCTTTCATTTGGTCAAAAGTATAAAAGGTTTGACCTTACTTGAAATATGAAAAAGCTGAGTACTTGAAGATTTATGAAAATACTCAGCATAGATACTATGAAAAGCTGAATAACAAAGTAACTTCTTTTTCCCCAAAAATTATTTTAGGCCACAGTATATAACAGAACTTATTGCTATTTGAAATATTGTTAAAAATAGGTTTATATATAGAAGAGATTATGTATCAGTAATACTTCCTCACTAATATAAAATGATATGCCCCTTTAAGAAGACATACTCTCTAGGTCTCATTTCTAAAACTGTATTTTTCTCATTTCCAAAACTTTTGTATATATCTGATCAAACTGACCTTACCAAAATCCCACAAATTATAAATCAATTAAAGTTCTGATTTCATTAATTTTAGCTTGTTTATTCTCATTAGCATTTGTTTTCTTAGTTCCAAAGGCTCCTGCTGCAAGTTCTCTCTTTGTGTTTTGTATTTTCAGCATATTTTCTTCAACAGAATCCTTCACAATAAACTTGAAAAAGAAAAAAAAAGGTCACAATACTTTTTAGGCTGATACTTAAATTCTTGAAAAAAAGTAACTTGAGATGATGCAAATGTCAATCAATTATAAAGGAATCTGCTTCCACAGTATTATGTAGCTTTCAATGTTATTTAGCTTTCAAAAATGGCCAGTAATCCATTAGATATTGGCTGTCTCTTTTTTCTCAATTCACAGAATATTTAGAACATGATTAACTAAAGATAAGCATTGCTTTCCCTTTTCACTCAATACAGTTTTCTTGTATAAAGAATATGGCCATAAGGACATAAGTTCTATCACATAACTTCATTATTAGATATAAGCATCACCAAAAAGAGTGAATTTTAGGCAACGCTGTAACTAGAATATTAGCAAAATAAATTTAGCCATTATATTCAAAAAGCCACCTGAGATTGTCCCAGAAATTCAAGAATGAGCACTTATCTGGTATAAATTCATAACATTAAAAAATTAAAGAGGAAAAAAAGGTGATAATCTTAACAGATGCTTAAGAAGCATTTGACAAAACATTTACTCCTAATAAAAACTTTGATTAAAAAAATCCTCATTAACCTAGATATAAATTAAGGGTACCTACTAGAACCTTACCAAGAACAACACACTTAAGGTAAAATACAGTTACTGTGTTTTAAAGAACCAGCAAGAATAACTATTACCATTCAATATTATATAAGAAGTCCTAGTTACTGTAATATCTGAAGTTGTATTATAAAACTTTACTGAAATAAAGACCCAAATAAGTAAAAAGAGATACTAAGTTTCTGTATGAAAACACATTTGTAAAGAAGACAATCCTCAAATTAAATTCAATAAACCCCAAACAAGAGTTCTTAAATGGAATATGGTGACCTAAATTCAAAGTTCAAGTCAGTAAAGAAAATGGATGGACTTGTACAAAAAGTGATTCTTCATTTGAAAAAAGAATAAAGTTAGAACTATATCATTAATTATAAACAAAAAACAAAATACTTCAAAAGAATCATAAGTAAATATAGGAGACTCATTTTTTAAATTTAAAGATAAAGCCTGTTCTAAAGACCCTAAAATCCAAAAGATACTAAAAGACTGATGTGTTTTAAGTAATAAAAACTTTAAATTTTTTATGACAAAAACACAAAGTTCAAAGATATACAAGAACCTGGACATAAACCATTTCCAGTAAACCTAACAAAACATTTTAAAATAAAGAAATATAAAAACAAGCAATTCACAGAAAAATATATTATGAAATTTGCTCAAGGTCTTAGGTAAATGCAAATTAGAAGGGCACTTTTTTTACCATTACATAAGCATAAATTTACATCATTCTCATACATCATAAAGCCTTTTTAAACAACTTGTCAGTTATCTAAGAAGAGTTCTAAATCTAGAATTCTCATTTTCTTAACCTATCCTGAAGAAATATTTATATATATACACAAAGATACAAGTAGTGCTCATTTGTAGCACTGTTCATTAGCAAAACATTGGGCCTGGTTAAATTATGATGTATCTATATGGAGATGTTAAAAAGAATGGGTTTGTAGAGTAGTCTAATTAATAAGTAGAATTAATTAGAGAGTCTAATTAACAAGAGAATAAGTAGAAGAGTGGTGGTCAGGAGCTGGAGGGGTAAGAATGGTGAGTTATTGTTCAGTGGGTAGACAGTTTGAGATGAAAAAGTTCTAGAGGTAGATGGCTGTGATGATTGTACAACATTAATGTACTTAATACCACTGTACACAGTTAAAATGGTAAATATTATGTGTATTTTACCATGGTCAAAAAAATAGGTTTAATATAAATGTATTTAGTGTCCAATATATACTGTTAAGGGAGGGGGGGGATCTACACTGTAGAATAAAGTATGATCCCATCCACCTTAAAAGAAATCTTAAAAGGAGATAGGTATACATATATATGAATGTATGCAAACATAGAGAATGGGATTCTGAGTATCAGATGCTTAACTACTAAGAGTGGTTCCCTCTAGAGAGAAGGTGGTTCCCATATTTCACTCTGCATTATTCTATTTCTTTTATAACAATCATCGTTTGCATAATTTAAAAAATCTCATCAACCTAATTTTAAAATAGCCTAAAACTCACTTTTGTGATGATAACTTCTTGCTTCTGGCCAAGTCTATGGCATCTGTCAAAGCACTGATCTTCAGCAGCTGGATTCCAGGCCTAGGAAGAACATGAATCACTTGATTACCACCCTGATCTATGAGTATTCTGCATGTAAGTCTTTTCATTTCAGAATGATTCATTGACCTTTTACTGACTAAATTCAGATAGTGGTATTATAAAGTCTCTGGGGAAAAAAAAAATCTACCTACCCCGACACCGCAACCACTATGACAGAAGTATCTGCCCTGTCCCACCCAATTCACACCACTATTTCTAATATCTAATACAGGGACTGATACATAGAAAGCACACACAGTACAAGTGACTGTTGATTAATCAATATCTCCACCACCACCACCCCAATCTTCAAAGTCAATCTATGTCTGCTTAACAGGGGAAAAGTTTATACATTCACACAACCTCTTAAATGACTTACTTTACATCAGAAAAGACATAATTGAGTCCATTTATAAAAAAGTTTTCTACCCTTTTATTGGTCTTTGGTTCTTCACTTTCCTCCATTCATTAAATAAAAGTACAAAGATTTCAGGAGTAATCAAAAGTCCTAAAAAATCACTTAAGACTTCAGTGATGCATTTTTTTTAAATCTATATTTGAAACCAGTTTGACTGCAAAACTGAACTAGAAAGGTAACATTAGCTAATTAACACAGGCATTATCACAGGGACTGTTTGAAGTTGAAGAATAAAACAATGAAAAGGGAAGAATAAGCAAAAAGATATTTCTTCAGTCTAGAAAGAGGAGTAGTTTTGAAATAATATGACTGTCAGGGTAAGGACTGTTAAATTTTAAATATGAGATGATTATGCTGAAAACAGGATGTCTGGGGAAAAGGTACATTTATACAGCAAAGGACCACATGAAAACAACATCATACATGCATATGTAGATGACAAGTTTATAGTATGATATACACTTAGGCTACAGTGACTTCTTTCCCTTGAAAGTTTGCAAGTCCCCTTGAGATTTAGAGAGAAAAGAGATTTTACTATTGACTTGCTGTAATTTGAGTTTTGGGTTATTTTTTGGCATAGAAGTTAGATTTAAGGACATACTTATGAATTTCTAAAACTGGCATAGTATCTTGTGGATATTTTGTATTTCACAATTGGACATGTTCTGAAACCATTAGCTAAAAGTCTGAGTAAAGTATTTCTTTCTATTGCCTGTATTTGTCTGGGAACCTTATGGTAAACTGGCAACATACATCTACTATGACTACCAGGATTCAAATGTATCTCATGATAATATCAACCTGGCAGCTCTCACTTTCCCATGTAGTGACAGAAGCAGCAAGTACCTTTATCGAATTTTTGTAATGGAACATCAAAACACACCTTAACTTTTATACAACACTACATAAAAAGGCAAGATTTTCATGAGTACATTTTTTTGATTAAGCCCAAATCTTATTTTTCTGGGACCTGGCTTTCATTTTAAAGTTAGAAACATCAGAAAGCTTGAAATGGTCAATGAAAAGCAGTCAACTTACTATGAAACTGCTACAACATTCTACAAGTTTTTAAAACTGTTAACTGCTAAAGAGTTTTAGTCTCTGATCAACTTTATAACACTATTTACTCTGATATTAATGAACTCTTCCTTACTAATACTATAACCAAATAATAATAATTTGGGAATTTGTTTCAAAAACCACCCTCATCCAGTTAGTTAATATGCAACTTAATCTGCAGTTACCATGAATATTTTTTATGTTAAACATAAAATATTAAAAAAGATTTAAAACTTCATCCATAGAAACTAAAGAAAAAATATAACAGACCGCTGCCATCCTTGACATTAATGTGAAACCCATGAATGACTAAATATGGCTCTGGTTATAATCTTACTGGGAAGGTTACTCTCCGGGAAGGAAAAAAGCCTTGTTAACAAGTACATGAATCAACTACATATCCTAACCAGAATACCTCAATTGTATCTCAGTAAAATTTCTTTCTGTTATGAATTTTTCTGAGTTTCAGGCAATAAGCTAAAAGCACAAATCTTAAATCTGTGAATGCACAGAAATAACAGGTTTGCCTCAAGCCCAAAGAGTATCCAGTACAAATTAAATGATTAGTCCAGAATTCCTCCAAATTAAATGGACCCTTTGTGCAATCAGAAAAAGGTTTTCCTGTGCACATGAGCTCTAACTCATTATACAGTTTGGTGAGTGAAGTTCAGAGTAAACTTTAGCTCCCATTCATCCCTAGGCCTGTACCACACAACCACAAGTGACTACACTGTATCAGACACTAAAATTAACCAAAAACATTCCATTACTGGTACCCATTTCTAAAATTGTGATGCTGGACCACCTGGCACCTGATTCACCTTTAGTCTGTATAAAATGCAGCTTCCTGAGTCTCATCCAGAAAGTCCTAAATCTCTGAGGACAGAGGTCAGAAATTGCATTTTACCTAATTCTTAGTACATTAAAGCTTGAGACCATTAGTATCACAATGGCCTACTTTATGGTGTTTATAGCCCAATTCCCAGTACCTGCAAAACTTGCTGATACACAGCAGGATCTCATTATTTGTGGACCAAATGAAAGCACTACCCTAAAGCATTACAGTTAATGGAAACTTACTCTGTATTTATTTAGAAAAGAAGAAAACCACAGCACAGAAATTAAGAAGAGGGTCTGATTCTGGTTTGTATGTTATTGTTGTGTGACTTTCAGCAAGTTATTTCACTTTTCTCTGCTTGTTTCCTCACTTGTAAAATAGGGATAACATAACAAGATCTAACTCACAGGGATGTTATGAGAATTTCACATAACATATGTTAAGCACTTAAGAGATAGCCCTCCATATGTGTTTACTAAGTTATTATCTATTTCTCAAGTTTGCCTTAGAATTTTCACAATTATAACCATGAAGTTATTTACCAAATACTTATTGCTTTTTACATTTTTAAAAGAAGTAAACAGCATACCAAAGACTCTAAAGAACTACTCACTGGATCCATTAAAAACACTCGAGAAGCTGCAGAAAGATTCAAACCAACTCCACCTGCTTTTAAGGATAGAAGCATTATAGTTGGTGATCCTACTTCTGTGTTTTGAAAACACTGAATTGATTCAACTCTTTTCCTTTGGGCCATAGAACCATCCAAACGAGTAAATACAAATCCAGAAGCTCTAACAGAGGAAACAAGAGACAAATATATTGAATAATTAAAAATCTCTTCATTCAGACCAATTCTTCACTCATTTATTCTGACAGATATTTACTAACCATCTACTAATATGTCAGGCTTTGCAGTCAACTTTTTTTTTTATAAATTAAGGGTCTACTCCTAAAATGCTCCCAGAAAATATTCTTAATTTTGACTCAATGTTATTCTTAAAAAATGAAATGAATAAAACTGGTAAAACAATTTTTTTTGCTATGCAAATCAAAACATTTATGTAAAATCCTTTTACTCAAAGTGAGAAATACTGTTGAAACTTACCTGAGTGGTGTTTCTATTAAAGACAGGAACGTTGTAAACTGAGAAACAACTAAACTTTTTATGTTGGGGTTCTTCTTTCTTAAGTCAATCAATGCATGCATTAAGGCATTAATCTGAGAAAAATAAGGATATCCATTAGATTACATTTTGAATTGGCAAAATAAATCTGAAATGTTTTTATTATGGAGAAGTCCTGTGATGTTATTTTCCTAAAATGCAAGACCACTAATCTCCTTAAAAATTAAGATAGCTGTCAGAATGCTATCATAATCTGAGCCCTTTCTTTCTTCTCAAATTCACCACTAAAAATAAAAAACCAGTAACTACCAACAGAGTATAATGTTCAAATGACAAGATTAAAAGAATCATTATTTTTATACATGATATCCTTATATAAATGTAAAACAAATACTCAAATATTTATATATTACCTTCGAACTAGATGTCCATTCCATATTAGACTTTTTCTCAGTGTCACATGCCAATTCTTCCGGAGGACATTCTAATAAATTGTCTCCATGTATATCATTTCTGCATAAAGGGCATTTAGCATGTGGCTATATAAGAAACACGTTATGAGTGACACTTATCAAAGGAAGAGAAATATAAATCTGCCTAAAATTTTAAAAAGGCATGTCAAAGTCTATATACCCCTAATAGCTAGCATTTTATTAGGCCTTTAATTAGATTCATCCATTTGAGATAAATCTGTACATGCTGAATTCCAGGCAGGTATAAATGTTCTGTTCTAAAGTAGGATGGGCAAAAAAGAGTGCAAAAATGTTTGTGACCTTGATTAGCAGCAAGAGCTTGAAACAATGCATATCATTTGCAGACAAGAAACTGTAAGTTTCTAAACCTAACTATATATAGAACACTAGTTAGAACTATTTTTTGGAAAAAAAAAATTTTCTTCTTAATGGTTTAGAAAGCCAGTTCACATCTGTTAAATCCTACCAAGCTCATTTTCAAATCAGTATCTGTTGTGTCCATTTGTACCAAGACATACTAATAAATGAAGATTATCTCTAAAATCATTCCAAATACGATTACAATAAAAAAAATTCTTAAGTTAAAACCAGTATAGCGATGTTGCCTTTAGGGAGGAAAGAGATGGCAAATAATAGAGAAGGCACACAAGGAGACCTGGGTAATAGATACATGGATATGTTTACTTCATAAATTCACTAAGCTATACAATCATGTCTTATGCATATTTTTTCCATATTTATATTATGTATCAATAAAAATGGTTTTAAAAAGTGTACCTCAGCTGAGGGACTGCTTAAAGTATTATTCCACTTCAAAAAATTCTACCATAAACAAGAATCCAGACCTGCCTTATCCAATACAACAGCCAATACAATGTGGCAATTAAGCTCTTGAAATATGTCAGAGCCCACTGAGATGTGCTATGTGCATATACCATCAAATTTTGAACACTTAAACATAAAAAAAAAGCATGTCAAGTATCTCATTAACAATTTTCATATTTTAGATATACTAGAGATAAGTAAGTATGTATTATAAAAATTAACTTCCTATTTCTATAGAAAATTTAGAATTACCTTTGTATCTCCCATTATCCCTGTGATCTTAACAATTAGTAAAACTAGCATGTTGACTGAGTATGCCTCCAAAATTGTCTGAATTATGTCTATGTTAAATGTGCTTGATTTTAAGAAATATATCAACTATTGCAACACTGATATAATTAACCATAAAAGGTACACTAGTAAATCCAGGTGCAAAACTCTTTATAGCTTGTTAAGACTTGGGTTTTCATTAAACTCAAAACTGATAAAAACCACTCCATCAAAACTGTATCGCACATAAAACTAACCTGCTCATTCTGAATGACTTGGCAAATACAGGGTTTACAGAAGACATGTGCACAATGTGTTATGACAGGAACCGTTAAAGAATCCAAGCAAATTGCACATTCTTCATCGGAACCTGAGCTCAGAATTAATTTCATCTTTCTTATTAACTTTTTTCGTAGTTCTTCAGGTGTATCATTTCCTAGAGAAAAGGCTGAAAAATTAATTTCAGAGCAAGATTTGTAATATGACTAGACAAGTTAATCTTCCTTAATATAGGAAAAGGTGTTCTTGGGTAGTCTTTAGTCTTTTTCTATCATAGCAAAAGACATAGTTCAATTTTGAAATTTTAAGAAAAATACAGAAGCTACAATAGTAGACGATCCACATAATATACCTTACACAGAAGCATCATTACAACAATCTGCACATACTACCACGGAATGAAAGGCAGATCCAATGTGAACTTCTGTCTGAGAGTATCTTCCACTGGAAATCAGGAAGACCACCTTTAATATTGCATTTCATTAGTAAGAGACTACTGGGTATATTCCCAGTTGAGTTCTATATTAAAAACAGTGTCCATTTGACAAATAATTAAACTTAAGCCATATGAAAAACTACTCTGATTTAAATATCTCTAACAAATAAAATGGTGTAAACCAATCCCACTTACTTACCTGAGGGACCACTGGAAGACACTGCGTTTGTAAGAAGGTGAGTATGACAACAAATCTGCCGCAATCTAAGTAAAAGGCCCAGGACATCTGCATAGTGTGCAAGGACAGTCCCTTCATTAAAATACCTAGAGGAAAAACAAATACTATGAAGGCCTTTACACAATATTGCAAATTCTAAAACAGTGGATTAAAAATGACACTGTTCTCTTGTTCTCTGGAAATCACTTCAAAACAAGAATGGAAAACAGAAAAGCAAACTCTAATGAAACTAGGAGGTATTTGTAATAATAGAGCAAAATATATGAGAAATGGTTGCCAACAGCAGTAAAAGCTGGATAGGAAGATACTGAGAGGAATGACTACAGATCTCAAACAGACCTGCCAGAGACCAATTCTTCAATACAGATGGAATGCCTTGAGGGAAAACCAACACCTCTCATGCACAAAAAACAAAAACAGGGTAGATGGCTGATAGCCTGAACTTCCCTGGACAAGTTTCACACCAAAAAGTAGGGAAGGCAAGCTGAATAAGGAAACACGTGGACCTACTGTATTTTCAGAAAAGACTATCAGCATAACATTCCATATTGTAAGGAGCTCTAAAACTTCTGATCTCTTTGCATGAGCACAAGTAAAACCTGAAAGAACTCACATGTAACCCTCAGTTACAATTAAATAGGGGTAATTTCTGCTGGTCTGGGACACAGCAATGATCTCTCCCCCTTCATATGAACCTCCTGCAAATAGCCAGTCCAAAAAGAACTCAAGACATTCAAATATAAGAAATATGAACCCCCTGCAAATAGCTAGCTAGGCCAAAAAGAACCCCAGACATTCAAATATACGAAATAGAGGTTCATATGAAGGGGGAGGGGATCATTGCTGTGTCCCAGACCAGCAGAAATTACCCCTATTTAATTATAACTGAGGGTTACATGTGAGTTCTTTCAGGTTTTACTTGTGCTCATGCAAAGAGATCAGAAGTTTTAGAGCTCCTTACAATATGGAATGTTATGCTGATAGTCTTTTCTGAAAATACAGTAGGTCCACGTGTTTCCTTATTCAGCTTGCCTTCCCTACTTTTTGGTGTGAAACTTGTCCAGGGAAGTTCAGGCTATCAGCCATCTACCCTGTTTTTGTTTTTTGTGCATGAGAGGTGTTGGTTTTCCCTCAAGGCATTCCATCTATATTTTTGTAATACCTGCTTTTAGGTTTTGTGTCAGGTACTCTGGTTACTGAGGTAAATAAGGCACAGGAAGAAATAATCAACAAAGAACAAGGGAGGGAACAAATGGCAGTGGAAAACTCACCAGAAAAATGATGCCATACAAAAACTATAAATTATGAGCAAAAGATACTGCCATGACTTAATAGCACTCAGTAAAATAATTCCTTGTAAAACAAGACAAAACCAATAGCTTAAAGCACAAAGAGCTTTGAAAAGGTATGGCAAAACAGATGAGAGATGAACTAGTATTTGCTCAAGAGTGTGAAAGAGAAAATGAACCACCAGAGAATGAAAGCCACATTTAAAGCAGCATGAAAGAGACAAGCTACTGATAAAAACATAGAAAGAATGTGGGAAACAAGATAGAGACAAGTAACAGAAAGACATAAAGAATTAGAATAAAATGGTATTTATGGAAAAAAACAACATACATAGAAAATAATGAACAGAAAACAAAATTCATGGAAAACTTTTCAGAAAGGGGATTTTTAAAAAAGCCTGGAATCTACAGATTTAAATGGTACCACATCCACATGTTCCAGACAAAATCAACATAAAGAGGTACTAGTCCAACTGCTGGGCTTTAAAGAAAAAAAATAAAATGAAATCACTGTTTCCCACAGAAATTCTTGATATAAAATACATAATAATGACAATACAGGTTCTGAAGGAAGAATGGGTTATCCAAAAGTTATATACTAAGTTAATCTGATATTAAGTGTTAAGGCAATAGAAAAAATACAGCCTAATGATTAAAAGCACAGCTTCTAAAGCTAGACTGAGTTCAAAAACTGGCTCTGCCAATATAATTATGAAACCTTTGGCTGGTTTCTTTCCTCAGCTGAAACAGAGGCATGGTACTATACATACCTCACTGTACTATTGTATTTAAAGAGTTAATACATGGAAAGCATTTAGAATAGTGTCTGTACTATGGTAACAAATACATACATATATATATATCTGCTGTTCCATTATTAGTAGTAATAGTAGTATTACATCAACAAATCTAAATATTCAAGAATGCAAAGAACAGCAATACAATATAAAGCTAAAACCTCTCTTGGTGATCTCATCCAGTCTCATGGCTTTAATTACCATCTACATACACACAGGTGACTTTCACATTTATGTACTAAAACAAGAACATTCCCATGAACTCCAATCTCATATCTAACTGACTATACATCTCCACTTGGAAATCTCAGAGTCATTACACAATTGTCCAAAACTGAGCTTCTGATCTCCCTGAAAAAATTCTGTTATTCCCTTACATCTATTTCTGCAAATGGTTATTTTGGTACTTCTAAGTCACTCATGTGAAAAACTGTGGAGTTACCTTTAATTCCTTTCTCTCACAACCCATACCATATCAATTGGCAAGCTCTGTTGATTCTACCTTCAAAATATAACAGAATCTGGCCATTTCTCACCCCCTCATCACTAGTCCTGTAGTAAAACCCATTATTTTATTTTACTGCCACTGTTCTCCCTTTTTACAGTTATTCCTACAATCTACATCTTAACAGCAGCCAGTGATCCTTTTAACATAGAAATAAGATTGTTACTCTCCTAGCTCAAAACCTTTCAAAGGTTTTTAATCTCATAAAAAGTAAAAGCAAAAGTCCTTGAAATACGCCACAATGCTTTACATAACTGTCATCCACCCCAACTGCAGTTTGACATCACTATTTTCCATCTTGCTCAAATTATCCGGCCATACTTACCTTTTTGTTGCTCTTCAAGCTCACCAGGTATGCTTCCAAGTCAGAGCCTTAACACTTGCTGTTCCCTCTGCCTGAAATGTCCACCAACCCCAATCTCCTTTAGATCATTTCTTCACATATTTTCACCTTCTCAGTGAGGTTTTCCCTGAACACCTTATTAAAACAGCTTCAGTATTCCCTATCCTCTTTCTCTTTTTTATTTTTCCATGAAATTTAATTTTTCAAGTTGTCTGTTTCCTCCCATTGAAATATCAAGTCCTTGAGGGCAGACTAGACATTACTATTTTATGTTGCTGTATCCCAATGTGTCTAACACTGCCTGGCATAAAGGCATTCAATAATTTTTGGTTAAAAGTATATGAAGGAACTTCAATCACCATTATAAGATTTTGAACTCTGAAATCTCTTGCTTAGGACAATCATTTCTCCAAATCTCTAATTTCTATTGAACCTGCTTTGAACCTCACTAAAGAGTCTATATTCTGAAGATTCTCTTATTTTCTTAGCTGTGCTCGGCCTTCATTTGATTCCTACTCATTCTGGTTCTTATGGGCATTCTTGTCAAACATGCTCTTGCTTGGACTAGAATGTCTTACCTACCAACCCCCAATCCTTTTAATATAACTTCATCGGCTCCTATTCCCAGATTTCCATGTTGCTGAAATATACTGATGTTAAGTCAATATGACCACATTGACTTATCTTCTACATATATCAAATAAAACATGAAGCCTCTCTACCCTTAAAAACATTGTTTACAGTGGCTGCAAATCCAGTCTAACTTCCTCAGCTTACTCTGTAGATACCCTTGTCTCCTATTTCACTAATCATACGCTTAATGTTATTTATCCTCACAGTAGGCTTCATCTTCCTCCACCAATTTGCTGTATTCTCATCTCTTCCACGTTCTCTTTTTTCTCAAGGTGGCTACCCAAACAAAACTATCAAAAAAACTGATTCAACAACCAGTCTCACTTTTTTCTTCCTTTCAAAAGACAAACTTTATGAACAAGGGTCTAACGCTATAGCTATTTCTTTGCAATCTCCCAATTCCTACAATTTCACTATATACCTCATTATGCTGGTGAAACTCTTCTGAGTTTATACCAGTAACTTCTGAATCACCAAACTGGCTCTTCTAAGTCTCTACAATATGTGATATTACTGACCATTCACTCTTTCTTGACTATGCTGGTTTTTTTCTCGGAATTTGACAACTTTCTTTACTTTCTTCATACTTCTCCCTTGATGGGCTTTCTGACAGTAGCTTCTCTTTACTTCCCTATTTCTTAAATGTGGACATTTCCTAAGGTTTTGGCCCTTAATAGGTGTATTTTCTCTACATATATTCTTCTCTCATGTTTTTATCTATTCCCATGACACAGAGCTAGGAACACAAGTAGGCAATTGCAGTCAGAAGACTAGCAATTCAGACCTTGCCCTTTCATGAAAACTTAAAATTTTTGCCTAACTTACAGAATTACTTATCTGGTAGATTATAATATTATTTCATTCAACTATTAATTCATAAAAATTTTAAAAACAAAGCAAATTATCTTTCAATATACTTCAGACATTGTTGCTAACATAGCTAAAAAATGCTATTCAGTTAAATAGGAAGTAGAGAAAATAAAATTATTTTCTAATATGGCTTTCTTTCTCCATACCTTCCAATTGTAGCTCTGCCTTCATTTTTCACAGACTGATAAATCTTTCTCTCTTCATCTGAAAGGGTAATATGCTGAATAAATACTTTACGTTCTGGCAACTCCAAAACAGGTTTTCCTTTAATTTTGCTTGTCTTTGTTCTTCTAAGTGTGATATTTTTAATTAGGGACTGTAAACGCCTAGTCAAAATAAAACAGATAATTATGTAACTTTTTATGTCTATGTAAGTTGATTCAGTATGAACAAAAAAGAACACTTATAACCTTAGTAAAGTTTTTTTTTAAGGAAAGGAAAATAAAACCTTATTTCAAGTTTTATTCAATTTGATAATCACAGACATATTCTATAAATGGTAAACTATATCAACAAATACATTGAAATGTGCCCTCAATTCAATACCTGTCAATTTAACTTTCTTTCATCCTGTACTTACTCTTCTAGAGCTTCTCCCCATTTTGATTCTAATCACTAACCTTTTTATTCTTCAATTCTGTCAACTACATCACTCAATAGTCAACACTCAAATTCTTAATAAGCACCTATTAAGTACAAGACATAATACTAAATACCATAAAATATAAATTTGAGTAAGATTGTCAAAATTTTCAATAATAAATGAGTAATTTTTGTAAAGTAATGACTACTAAAAAATCAAAAGATGTGATGTGACAATTCCGAAAAGAAATGCCTTCTGAGTTCTACAACATTTACAGTACCTTCTGAATATCAGAAAACTATGAGGCATTGTCAATCTCTAAGAAAAGGTTTTTCCTAACACTGTATTATAAATACAATTTTTTAAATTGGAATTTAAATAGTTGGTTCTAAGGCATCAAGAGGATGGTACTGCACACTAGGTTAGTGGTTTTTGAACCTTTCTAACTATAGTCCACAGTAAGAAATGCATTTTACTCCATCCAGCAAATATACACGCACATACACATGTAACAGAAACCAACATTTCACAAAACAATATGTATGTGTGATGCACTCTATTTTTTAAATTGTCTACTCTATTTCCTTTTATGTTACTTGCCATTTTTATAACGATTTCACAAACTGCTAATGTATTCCAAAGCTTTTGAAAACCACTACTCTAGACAAAAAAACTTAAACCACATTAACCTAGTACCTTGCAAAATGGCTGTCAACAAGTTAAATTTTATTTGTTCTCAACTTTTATCTGTCTTCATAAGATAAAACTCATAAAACTCTTGCTGATGTTGAACATAACATCATTCATTCGATTACAACTGTATAATGCTATACAGGATAATTTATGAAAATTTAGTGTATACTGGATGCTCAGGGCATGTAATTTTTCCTGTCACTAATTCATCTACTAACAGTAGTTTCAGAGTGTAAAAGCAACACAAAAAGACCGTTAACACTCTGCCTTTCCTTTCAGTCTGAGTGAATGAAGGGAAGAAGGGGCTATGTTTGAGTGGTAGTTGGAAATCGTTGTCTCCCCAAACAAGAAACACTAGGTTCTGAGAGTCAGTGGCATTACGCTGTAAACACTTTAAGAGGAAAGCAACAGTCAAGTTAGAATAGTAATGACAGTGGAAATGGTTCATGCTACTAACAGCTATTTGTAACTAATAATAACCAGCTGTCACAAAATTTCTTACCTAAGTCCTCCTTCATCTCCCATTGTGACAGGACGTTGTATTGTTCTATGCCACCATTCTCTATCAAGAAATGGTTTAAGTTTTAAAAAGGAAAGAAGGGACCACAAGTCCTTTAAAGAATTCTGAATTGGAGTACCTAAAACAACAGGAAATGGTTATAGTTCTATAGCCAGAGTATGCTATCAGAAAATCCATCTGGTCCAGAGAAGACAATAGTGGAAAAGGGGCACTCTGTACTATGCATACCCACTATCAACTTATGATGATAATACCCTGTTAAATACATGTACAATGTGAAAATACAGTTTGGGTTTAATTTTTAATTCTCACATTTGCCATACTGACAAAGAAAAAGACTACAGATTAAGTAAATCCAACTTTCTACTTAGAAACATTTGCTTATTTGATTTTCATAGCAGCACTAGCAAGAAGGAAAACAATAACCTGGGTTTATAATCTCTTCCATTTTATAGTCCAGGTGTCATGAGTAGCAGACTCCAATCAAGATTCTGATTGGAGGATTAAAGGGTCTAACAAGTGTTTTAATTAAATTGTTTCTATGATTAATTTTGGGATAGACTTTATATCCACTTGAAGTTCACAAAGTTACCTAAGTAACTTAATGATACATACTTGTAAATTAATTTTTAAAATAATTACCTGTCAATACCCATCTTCTTTCTGCTTCTAAATCAAGTACAGCTTTTGTCTGCTGAGCATTTGGATTCCTTATGGCATGTCCTTCATCCAGGATCACTCTTAGCCACCTTATGCTATGTAATGGACTATCACCTTTAGTCTGAAATGTTTCACATGATTAATAACAAAGGAAAGTAATAGTACTTCATGTAATTTGATAAATAAGAGTTGTTATTACTTTTTAATATCAACACTATGCGGTAGATACTGCTTTACGTGGTACTTCATACATTAAACTACTGAATGTTCACAAGCTTATGAAACCTTATTATTACTTCTATTTCACAGATGAGAAAATTGAAGCAGCAAGGTGTAAAGTATGTTGCTCAAAGTATTACAGCTAGAAGTGGCAAAACTAGTATTCAGACCGAGTAGTCTACCTCTCTGCTGAGACCTTGGTTCAATACACTGCTATTCTGCTTCAGATTAAAACACATATTAAAAAGAAAACACAGAAACTGTCAGTTATTAGAATTATTTGAACATACTTTCTTTTTTGTAAAGGTTCTTACCAAAAGACTGAAATTTTGACAACAGGTATTTTTGAAAAACATTTTAACTTAAAAGAACTGGAATTATAGGCAAACAACAATTAGACTTCCAAATGAATTAGGAAACTCAGGAATTTCACCTACAAAAAAGCTTATTTTTACACTGAGATGGTCATTAATCAAATCACTGTGATAGAAAACAATATTGTAGAACATTAAAAAAACAAATCATTTATACATTGTTACATGTACTTAATTATAACTCAAATTTAAGATTTTAACTTCAACTGTTCTAAATGGAAAATATTCCTAAGTATCTAAATGAAGTCCAACCCACTCTTGCAAAAGAGTAAAAAAACTTCCTATATATTCTTAAGTACTTATAAAGAAAAAAAAGGTATAAAGCCTAAATTTTAGAACACTTTAGTAATCTTGAAGCATATTTCTCAAATTCACCTTTTGAAAATCTGAGTATAACCATACTTACTCCATAATCATGAGTTAAAATATTGTATGTTGTCAAAACAATATCCTGTTTTGAAAGCAAGGTTGGGTCTCTAATACGATCAGGACCATAATACACATAAAAGTTCAAGTGCACATCTGATTTTATATGTTGCCCAAACTGGTCCTAAAAGAAAATCAGAAATATCTTGAATAATAAGCAGATTAGTGTCAGGCTTAATGTATGTATGTATAAAAAGCACTGTCCAGGCAATAGTGTCACAAACTACTCAAATTATATAAAATCTAAACTAAAAGAACAATGACAATAACAGGACTAATTATTATTTTGTCAGGAAAACTGACATATACACAATAATTAAGTTTATATAAATTGTTTCTGGCCCTACCAACATGAACAAGCTACTTCATTTTTAAGAGGAAAAGACAACCAAGATTCTTTAAAAAAGGTACTTAGTTTTTTAAAAATTTAGTATTTTAACAAAAAAAAGATTTTTAGAAGCAAGCAATTCCCATTTGATCAAAATGGGCAGGCAGGGGAGAGTCGAGATGGCAACGTGAGAGGTGAGACAGAGAACTCCCTCCAAAACCACAAATACTATAAAAATGTAGTTAATTGATACAACTAATCCTAAAACATCAACAAGAAAGAAGGCTGAACCAGACTACATACAGACCTCATGACAGAGCAGACCTCACAAAACAGTAAAAGTAAGAAAGCCTTAATCCGGTGGGACCCAAGCCCTCCCCCCACCCCAGCTCACCAGCGGGAGGAAGAGAAACGAGCAGGGGGAGGGGTGGAAGCTTGGGACTGCTGAACACCTAGCCCTGGAGAACTGCTTTGGGGGCAGAAACCTGCATTGTGTGGTGCTCTGGACGTTGGAGAGCCTGGACAGGCCGAGTGCATGAGAGACTGAGATTCCGGCCGCTTGTGGAGGAGAGGATCCACACTGGATCACTCTGTGTCAGAGGAAAGGCAGGCGGTCTGAGAGGCTTCCTAGCAGCGAGAGGGCTGCTGAAGGGGCGGAGCTTGCTGCAGTGGGAGGAGAGAACTGGACAAGGTTGTCTGGGCACACTCTGCTCAGCTGGTTAGGAACTTTGAGGAGCTTCAGGTGCCCCATCCCCCTGGCTGCCTACTCAACTCTGAGGCCCCCTCCCTGCTGTGCCTTCCTCCTAGCCTGCCAGCATTGGTTTGCAAACCAGCAGTCACTGTGCTGGCATCAGGCCAGCCAGAGGGAGGCCCTGCCTATGACAGCTAGAGACGCAAAGCACAGAAGCTTACACCTGTGTACTCAGCCCAGGTGTAAGCAGATAGGCACCGCAGACAGGAATCAGGAAACAGATCTTTCCTCCCCCAGGCACCAGCTCCATTCCTCTACGACCCCCACCCTCATTCTAGGGGCTGAGCAGCTCCAGAGACTGGAGCTTCTGGGCACTAGGGGCACCACACAGAAATATGAAATGTCAAAAAGAACATGGTTCAGACAAAAATCTCACAAACCCCAGAAAAAGGGCCAAATGGAACGGAACACACCAATCTTCCTGAAAGAGAGTTCAAAATAAAAATTATAAACATGCTTATGGAGGTACAGAAAAATATTCAAGAACTCAGAAACGAATTTAAGTCAGAGAGTCAATCATTAAGAAATCCCATATCTGAAATGAAACATACACTGGAGGGATTTAAAAGCAGATTAAATGTAGTAGAGATGGTAAATGGAACAGAAATTAGAGAAGAGGAATAAAAGAAGCTGAGGCACAGAGAGAAAAAAAGAATCTTTAAGAAGGAAAGAATATTGAAAGAACTGTGTGACCAATACAAACAGAACAGTAATCACATTATAGGGGTACCAGAAGAAGAAGAGGAAAAAGGGATAGAAAGTGTCATTGAGGAGGTAATTGCTGAAAACTTCCCCAATCTGGGGAAAGAGATAGTCTTTCAAGCCATGGAGGTACACAGATCTCCCAACACAAGGGAACCAAGGAATACAACATCAAGACATACAATAATTAAAATGGCAAAGATCAAAGATAAAGACAGACTTCTAAAAGCACCTAGAGAGAGAAAAGATCACATACAAAGGAAAGCCCATCAGGCTATCATCAGACTTTTCAGCAGAAACCTTACAGGCCAGAAGGGAGTGGCATGATATATTTAATTCAGTGAAGCAGAAGGACCTTGAACCAAGAATACTCTACCCAGCAAGGTTATCATTTAAATTTGAAGGAGGGATTAAATAATTTTCAGATAAGCAGAAGTTGAGAGAATTTACCTCCCACAAACCACCTCTACAGTGCATTTTGGAGGGACTCCTATAGATGGAAGTAATCCTAAGGCTACAAAGATGAGACAAGGGAGAGACAAGGCTACAAGGGAGAGACAAAGAGTACAGAATATGATTCATAACATACAAAGAATGGAGGAGGAAGAAAAAGGAGGGAAAAAAAAAAGAACCTTTAGATTGTGTTTGTAATAGCACACAAAGTGAGTTAAATTAGACTGTTAGACAGTGAGGGAATTACCCTTGAACCTTTGGTAACCATGAATCTAAAGCCTGCAATGGCAATAAGGACATACCTATCGATAACCACCCTAAATGTAAATGGACTGAATATACCAATCAAAAGACACAGTAATAGAATGGATTAAAAAAACAGGACCCATCTATATGCTGCCTATGAGAGGCTCACTTCAAACCCAAAGACATACACAGAATAAAAGTGAAGGGATGGAAAAAGATATTTCATGCAATTAATAGGGAGAAAAAAGCAGGAGTTGCAGTACTGATATCAGACAAAATAGACTTCAAAACAAAGAAAGTCACAAGAGACAAAGAAGGAAATTACATAATGATAAAGGGGTCAATCCAACAAGAAGATATAACTATTATAAATATATATGCATCCAACACAGGATCACCTACATATGTGAAACAAATACTAACAGAATTAAAGGGGGAAATAGAATGCGATGCATTCATTTTAGGAGACTTCAACACACCACTCACTCTGAAGGACAGATCAAACAGAAAAGTAGAGACAGAGGCACTGAACAACATATTAGAACAGATGGACCTAACAGAAATCTAGAGAACACTCCATCCAAAAGTAATAGGATATACATTCTTCTCAAGTGCACATGGAACATTTTTAAGAATAGATCATATACAAGGCCACAAAAAGAACCTCAGTAAATTCAAAAAGACTGAAATTGTACCAACCAGCTTCTCAGAACACAAAGGTATGAAACTAGAAATAAATTACACAAAGAAAATGAAAAAGCCCACAAACACATGGAGGCTTAATAACATGCTACTAAATAATCAATGGATCAATGACCAAATAAAAACAGAGATCAAGCAATATATGGAGACAAATGACAACAATTCAACAACACAAAATCTGCGGGACACAGTGAAGGCTGTGCTAAGAGGGAAATAAATTGCAATACAGGCCTTTCTCAGGAAAGAAGAACAATCCCAAGTGAATAGTCTAAACTCACAATTAATGAAACTAGAAAAGGAAGAACAAATGAGGCCCGAAGTGAGTAGAAGGAGGGACATAATAAAGATTAGAACTGAAATAAATAAAATTGAGAAGAATAAAACAATAGAAAGAATCAATGAAAGCAGGAGGTGGTTTTTCGAGAAAATAAACAATAGATAAACCCCTAGCCAGACTTACCAAGAGAGTCTACACACAAACAGAATCAGAAATGAGAAAGGAAAAATCACTTCGGACACCACAGAAATACAAAGAATTATTAGACAATACTATGAAAAATTATATGGTAACAAACTGGATAACCCAGAAGAAATGGACAACTTCCCAGAAAAATAAAACCTTCTAAGGCTGACCAAGGAAAAAACAGAAAATCTGAGTAGACCAATTACCAGGAAAAACAACTGAATCGGTAATCAAAAAACTACCTAAGAACAAAACACCTGGACCAGATGGTTTCACTGCTGAATTTTATCAAACATTTAGTGAAGTCCTAATACCCATCCTCCTTAAAGTTTTCCAAAAAGTAGAAGGGGGAACACTCCCAAACTCATTCTACGAGGCTGACATCACTCTAACACTAAAACCAGGCAAAGACACCACAAAAAAAGAAAATTACAGACCAATATCCTTGATGAACATAGATGCAAAAATATTCAACAAAATACTAGCAAACTGAATTCAAAAATACATCAAAAACATCATCCATCATTATCAAGTGGGATTCATTCCAGGGATGCAAGGATGGTACAACATTGGAAAATCCATCAACATCATCCACTACATCAACAAAAAGGTCAAAAACCACAAAAGCATTCGACAAAATTCAACATCCATTCATGATAAAAACTCTCAACAAAATGGGTATAGAGGGCAAGTACCTCAACATAATAAAGACCATATATGACAAACTCACAGTCAACATTATACTTAACAGTGAGAAGCTGAAAGCTTTTCCCTTAAGATTGGGAACAAGACAAGGATGCCCACTCTCCCCACTTTTATTCAACATAGTTCTGGAGGCCCTAGCCACGGCAATCAGACAAAACAAAGAAATAAAAGGCATCAAGATTGGCAAGGAAGAAATTAAACTGTCACTATTTGCAGATGACATGACATTGTACATAAAAAACCCTAAAGAATCCACTCCAAAACTACTAGATCTGATATCTGAATTCAGCAAAGTTGCGGGATACAAAACTAATACACAGAAATCTTTTGCATTCCTATACACTAATGATGAACTAGCAGAAAGAGAAATCAGGAAAACAATTCCATTCATAATTGCATCAAAAAGAATAAAATACCTAGGAATAAACCTAAC